GATCGAGTACGACTACGACGAAAGCAGGTATCGATCTCAGTTCCGCTTGCTATTGGATGGCGTGCGAGATGAAGTGGAAAAGCACCGGCATTTCACGAAGCAGAGGAACGTGGGAAGCACTAACCTCCCCGACACCGTCAAACGAGGTACAATGATGTTAACGACGCACTTTCATCGACGGCAGAGGATTCCCATGCCATTCTGCTGAATGTCAGTGGTCCGGACAAACCCAACTTTGTGTTCCTCTCGCACGGGGACAAACACAAGGCCTTCGTACGACAGCTCACGTCCAAATTGTCAGCGCTGGGCATCAATTGCTACAGTGATCGGAGCGTCGAGGGGCAGGATTTCCACTCACGTATTCAAGTTGCGCAGGAAACGATAGTACAATGCACGTGTTTCATGGTGCCGGTGTCCAGACAGACTCTGAACAGTGAGTTGGTACGCGACCAACTGGCATTTGCTGAGGATAAAGGCCGGATTATCTTCCCTGTTGTGCTGAATGATTTGGACCCTGGGCTGGACAAGCGCTACTCGCTAGCGCGTAATAATCTGTTCCACTTCATGGCGAATGGCATGAGTTTCCATTCCAGTTTTGACAGTCTGGTCGCATCGTTAAGCCCGTACTTTAAGCGAGGACATGCACATGAATTCCACTGAATCATGTTGGATACCTAGTTAGTGCTCGTGGAATCGAGAAGTGATAACCTGATGCTCTCAAGTGTAAACAACGAGTCCAAGTGGGTTGTCGCGCACAGACTTGGTTTTTTCATGATGGTGCAAACTAAGAATCTATCCAAAAATTATTCCATGTTCAATCCACCTCTCCATAAGATGTATCATAAGGACGTTCACCACCCTGAAGATACATGAAAACATAGGATTTATTATGTAGTAAACTGGTCATCATCATTTTGGCTCACTGGTGGTAATAATCCTCGCCGTAATCCAATCAGCAATGCCTTCTAGTAGGAGGTTTGTTACCTCGAGCCACACTTACAGTGCCTGCGTAGGAGCGTCCTCACGCGATCACTCCAGCTTCTGACGGCGAGATATCGTACCTGGATCCGTGGGTATGGTCGCTGGTGACAGTCCTACATCCGAGTCGACGTCCACCTTTGGCAGCAGTCGCCGCCGTGTCGCCTTTGGTGGCCATGGAGCCTGTCGGGAGCCTGAAGAACGTACACGCGTTAAAACCGAGCGAAGTCTTCGCACACCTATCGCTGTCGACTCCAGCGCCACTGCATCATACCTCCTTTCGCGTTCGCCCAGGAATCCTCGACGATGGCCGATGAATATGAAGCACCATTATCAAAACGTCAAAAACCTACACGGGAAGCTGTCGGATGTGCCGCGTCATTGGCTTTGGGTTCGTTTCCTTAACAATTCCTTCTTCGCACGTCGTCTGATGAGGTCAGGTATACAGTTGTCGATAGCACTCGCCTCGGGTGTTCTCTTTAATAGCATCTTCGTCCAGCCCAAACTCGATACATACGAGAAGGAGAACCCTGATCTATACGACGAGTGCCACACACTCGTGACGTTCTCTGCTGTCATTTACCAGACGCTCCCCGCGGCTATCGTCTTATCCTTACCCGGTTCAGGTATACGCTTCTTCGAACCGTTCAATCGAACAAATCCATCACCTGGTCAAGATATCGAGGAAGGGGATGCCACAAGTATAACCAAAGTCAGACGCCGGTTTGTGTTTCAGCTGTGTGAGGTGCTGGCGGTTTGCATGCTTATCTTCGACTTCTTACTGGTTGGGTATTTCCTTCGAGTGCTCTTTACCGGAGCCATCGATTCGTGTGGCGATGTGGCGTCCCAATCCTTCGCATTCGGAGCTGCGGTCTGCTATGCCGGACTTTTTGTGGTAATCTACTACTTCGCTCGATATCGAGAGCATATTAAGATGCAATTGGGCGCTTTCCAAGAAGCTGATCAGACTGGAGACGTCCGCAAATACGTGGACTTACGCATCGATCAAAAGTTAAACACAACTCGTAAACTACTTAGTGTTGTTAGAATCCGACTCTACTACGCTACACGGAGAGGAGATCTGGATGAAATGCGCGAGATCCTCGAGTTCGCGACGGCCAAAGGACTCGCAGAAGTCGGATTCCCAGGCAAAGTCTACGCGGCGCCAAAGATTCGGTGGAAGTTCTTCGCAAGGTCTCGTGAAAACCCCGTGCATGTGGCTGCACTACTGGGAAACACTCGCGCGTTGGAGCTACTGGAAGAGTACGGTTTTGATATGGAGGAACTGGACAAAGTACGACGTGTTGTAGTATCCACTGGAGGCTTCTTCTGGCACTTTGTGCAGCTTATCGTGAAGCGCCCGCAAGGAAGCAACGAAGACACGGCGGTGTCTGTGTTCCATACATCACTGGTCACGCCACTGCATTGCGCTGTATCAACAGGTCAGATTGAGACTGTGAGGTGGCTACTGAGTCGAGGTGTCTCTCCTGGAACGTTGGCTCAAGCTTCGTTCAGGTCTAACCGTGTACCCCCTCTTTTCCTGGCTGAACATGCCGACATAACAAGAGAATTATTGCTACATGGAGCTGACCCGTTGGTGATCCCTGATCCAGGATTCATGAACACTATAACCCCGTTGCAACTCGCGTATGTGCGAGGAAACTATGCTGTAGCGCAGGAGCTGGAGGAATGGGGTAGTGATGTGGCTCTCACGCCCTTCCACTTGGCAGCAGCTCATAATGATGTGGCAGCTGTACGCAAATTCATCGCACGAAAGACGGATGTGGACTGTCTGGGAGAAATGGGCTACGTGGGGGTCAATCGACGGACACCGCTGCACTGGGCTGCTATCAGTGGAGCCACAGAGGCGGTCGATGTTTTGTTGGAAGGAGGAGCCGATCCGAATTTCCAGGATGTTCGCGGTCGGTCGCCGTTGCACTGGGCAGCGAAGCTCAACAAGCTGGAGGTGGTTCGCTCTCTGCTTCGGGCCAATGCAGACCCGAATCTGGCCGACGGAGAGTTCATGACGCCACTGATGTGTGCTGCCTCAGCGTTGGATGCGTCGAGAGAACTTGTTAGTGAACTTACGACTGCAGGCGGCGACATCGGCTACCAGCTACCGACGACGGGCGACACAGCACTACACGTTGCTGTCCGGGAGGAGAACAAGACGTCCGCGTTGGCTGTGTTGGCTTCAGGTGGAGACCTCATGCGGATGAATAACGAAGGTCTGCGCCCACTTGACTGCACTGCGTCCACAAGGTTATTGTTCGAGTTGAAGCGAGCTGCTGGCCAGCGAGACGTCATGATCAGCTACACACACTCGCACTTGGAATTCGCTCGGAAACTACGTCAGTCTCTCGAAGAAGCGAACGTCACCACTTGGTTAGATCTGATGGACCCGAGCGGGATTGGTGGGGGAGCTGTGTGGCGTGAAGAGATTGCTCGTGGCATCACCAACGCGTCGGTAGTGTTGTGTATCAACACAGAAGACTACGCGTCGTCGGAATGGTGTCTGAAGGAATTGGCACTGGCCAAGCAGGTCGGTACGCCCATCTTGGCTGTCTCGACTGAAGGCGCCATCGTCGATGAAAACCTACAAGTGTATCTCTATACGCGTCAGATCGTTCCATTCGAACCTTCTATCGTTGGTCTACGTCGCGATGGAGGTAGGATCGAGTACGACTACGACGAAAGCAGGTATCGATCTCAGTTCCATCTTCTACTGGACGGCGTACGCGATGAAGTCGAGAAGCACCGCTACGTTACGAAGCAGAATAATCTGTCTCGTAGCCGCCGTCTGGCTCAGGAATCCGATGGGGAGCGCAGTAATCGAGGCACGATGCTGCAGACGTTGAGTGATATGCAGCTCTCCACCGCTTCATGGGATCCCAATCGTACTAACACCACGAATCCGGACGACATGAACGAGGGTCAGTTCGTCTTCCTCTCGCATGGAGACAAGCACGAGGCGTTCGTACAGCAGTTCATAGCGCAGCTCCTGGAAGCCGGTATTCCTTGCTACAGTGACCAAAGCGTTAGCGGACGTGACTTCTACTCGCGCATTCAGGTCGCCCAGCAAGCGATTTTGCGCTGTTCGTGCTTCGTCGTACTGATATCGAGGCAAACCATGGGGAACGAGCTGGTCCGTGACCAATTAGCGTTCGCTGAGGATAAAGGGCGACCAATCTTCCCCGTAGTCTTAAACGATATGGACCCGGGACTGGACAAGCGCTACACTTTAGTACGCAGTGAGCTGTTCCACTTCATGACGAACGGTATGGGCTTTAAACCCAGTTTCGACACTTTGGTACGAGCGTTGCGACTGCACTGCACCTTTACCGATGGGCTTCTTGGCTCGACCCCGGAAAGTGAAGCCGGTCAAACCCGCAACTTAGACTCCATCGAAGGGCTAGAAGACAACCAACTACATCTATCAGATACACGTGTTCGTATGTAATTATGCTAGCAAACGAGTGGCGAAACCATTCCACCAGGAATAGCGGAAACCTTCATGTAGTTTTTCGACCCATTCTGCTCGATATAGCGTTGATATTCCTGGTTTCCCATGTCGATCGCCTTTTGTCGTGCTCCACTTTAAAGGTGGCTTTGGTGGAAGATGCAGAGCAGCTTGGCGCCGTCCGTGACACCGCGTCCCGTGAAGCCGTCGGCGCCAGCGGTACGCGGTGGTCGAACGTATTTGCTCAGTGCGTCGCCGATCAAGTTATCGTCTGGAAATGCCGACGCCAAAGCCCCGATGATTCGACCGGCCGAGTCGCCAATTCCCCCGACGATGCGGAAGAAGCCGCTGATCTTGAGCGGCGACATTCGCAATCTCGGGACCAATTTCCAGCTGGCGACGGCGCGTGAAACGCTGTCGCTCGCGCACCTGGGCGACGTTTTTGCTGCTCACGGCATCGTCATCACACGCGCAGAGGCTCAAGCGCTTCGTCACGAGTTCGAGGAGAACAACGAGCGAGGACTCAGCTACGTCGATTTCGTGGATGAACTCGTCCGGTCTTTTCGAGGTCCCGTGACGGGTACGGGAGACACGGGCCGTCCAAATGAAAATGCCGGTCTCGTCGCTGGTGCTGCCTGTCGAGCACTCGCGAAGAAACCACAACTTGCAGAACATTTGTCAAGGTTGAGTGCGCGTCATTCACAACTTGTAGGTGAGATTCGGGCTCTGTTAGGAGCCAACCTGCGCGTATCTTGGACTGCCGTACGGGACGCTTGTCGAGCGGCAGAAATCGGTGCAGGTACTAGAAAACTATCAAAGACGACGTTCGCGCGCGTGTTGAGTGGCCTTAATATCCCAGCACTGTCACCTGCAGCATTAGAGGAGCTTTCACAAGATGGCTCCTCTATCGACTATCACGAATTCCTTGCCCAATTCGGTAGTAGCTTCCAGCACGGTGATACCAACAACGTCAGCAACTCATTGGTATTCGATCGACCGGCAGGTAAACAGATCGCTGAAGTGTCAATCGGTACGGGAGCCAACAACATCACGGCGACCAACAAGACGCTACAGTCTCCTGGAGTCACCAGTGCGTTAGGTGGACGTTCACCGACCAAGAAGACCAACAAAAATTCAATCAAATCAGAGACGGGAAAAGACCCCGTCCTGCTTGAACAACTTCGTATCGTAGTGGGGAACAGAATCAAGACACGGGCTGACGAAGTTTTGAACGTATTCAGTGCTCTCGATCCGTCCGACTTGGGCTTCGTTCCTGCTCCAGTATTTACACAAGCACTGCGAGATCTCCAACTAGTCGAGTCTGAAGAAGACGTTGCTACCGTGCTGTACGCTGTCGTGGATGGAGACAACAGGGACAGCGTTGACTACCGCAAATTCGTGACGAGTTTTGGCGATGTGGTGCATCCAAAAGGAATCGATGCGATGAGGCGTAGCTTACAGGAGAACAGTTCATTGGTCTTCCCGGGATACAAAGAAGTCAAAGGAGCATACAAGAACCGCGTGGCGTTATCGTCGCCTGGAAACGAACTGAAAGAAGCGTTTTCACGTCTACCCGATGCAAGTTGGAGAGCGATACACGTAGAGTTAGAGCTCAGTGATCCGCACAAAAGTGGACTGGTACCTACTGCTGAACTGCTTCGGGTACTGAGTAAACACCTTGGTCCATTGCCATCTCGACATTTCGGTTCGCTCTTCCGCGCCTGTGGCTCTCACGCACATCAACTTATGGACTACAGATCACTAATCAAGAGCTATAGACCTCGAGTGGTGGACACCGAGAGCTTCTTCGCCCCTCCACTTCAGGGTGACGGTGCACGGGGTGCGATTGCTGTTGGTCTCCAGCATAGCCAACAGGCGACAGCACCGACCGAGTCGCTTGTGCTCGTGTGGAGCGTCCGAGTCGCTAGAGCGCGTCTCGGTGTAGTGGAGTGGAGAGCGCTTCAAGACCGTCTTGCTGCGTGTGATCCACGTCGACAAGGGCGCGTTTCGACGGCAGCGTTTGCACTCGCAGTACGTGACGCTCTGTCGTTGACAGAAGCTCAGATAGCGTTCCTCTGTTACTTCTACGAAGACCGCAGTATCGCTACCGACTCGCCATTGATCCGGTACGCGTCCTTCTTGACTGACTATGAGGATCCGGGATTAGAAGCCAACGATCCAAGCGAAGGGAGTTGTAAACCTCAAGGCAGAAGTAAAGCAGTCATGTTCAGTAGTCCTTCACCTGGAGACGCTGAATCGGATCTTAGAACGGAATTGGAGCAGCTACGTCAATTCTTCCGAGCGAATGTCGGTGAGTTAGAGCGGCTCCTGGCAGCTGAGGACGCTGATACACGAGGCTTTGTCAGTCTCCCGATATTCACTCGGATATGCGCCAAGCTGAGCTCTGAAGTAGGCACAAAGTGGAGAGAATCAAGAGCGACTGCCAAGTTCTTCGAGAGGTATATCGCACGTGGAGGACAGTTCTACTATCGCGGTTTCTTGCTGGACATGGACTGTAAAGTTGGTCTCCAAGCTCAGGCGCTTGTGGTCCAAGAGGATGATGAAGAGGAGGAACGAGACAGCTTTGACGAGGACTCGAAAGATAAACCACTAGATGTACACGAAGCACGTGCAGCAATACGACACCTTCTGACGAGCTCTCGGTCGCAGCAAAGCGCAGTGTATAAGCTTCTGGCGAACATGGATTCAAGTAGCTCTGGCTTACTAACGTATCCAGAACTACGACGCGCTTTTGAGCGATTGGGCGTTAACCTTCAAGACGATACGGTGGTCCAAGAATTACTGAGTTTCTACGAGGAAGAAGACGCTCAAGGTGAGCGAACAACCGGCCTAGTCAAGTATCTGCAGTTGTTGCATGCATTGGGTGGCAAAGATCCTGATAAAGTGGGCAAGGACTCGAATATGAGCGATCTATCGAGTCACTGTTCGTACTATAGTGCGGTGGGGATCAGTCCTCGTGCAGTTCGTCGCTCTCCAGCTGCAATTGCAGTCTCAAGACAACTGACCAGCCGAGCTGGTCACGTTCTAGCAGCGCAAGCTGTAAACCACGCAGTGGAAAACCCTCGAGCCTCTTTAAACGCCGGCGTTGGAGCTACAGCCGGGGCTGCTGCAGTGGAGCAGAAGCTTCAAAAAGCGCTTCATAGTCAAGGAAAAACGGCGTGGAAACAGCTCACACGCAAACTACAGGCGCTTGACACTGAACGTCGAGGCAGTGTGACGCCTTCGTCCCTACGCAAAGTACTGGGAGAGCTCGGTATCGATCTGGATCAGGAAGAAATCGTCCGTCTTCAGCTCAAATACGACGCGGAACAGAATGGACGTCTCAATTACCACGCAATGTTACGTCAACTCACCAGTTCTTTGAGTATTCTCGGGGCTAGTAGCAATGGAACTGGAGCCGGCGACTTGTTACCGAGCATATCGTTTAATTCCCCAGTGAAGATCAAAGTTACAGGCAGCGAGACCATCCCAGAAGAGCTGCGGCTTGGCGTCCAAGCCAAGTGGAAAGAATTGTACGCGTCGTATAAAGCACTCGACAAGAGCAACTCGGGTCGTGTGAGTGCGGCTCATTTCCGTCAGATGCTGGAATGGTACGCGCTGCCTATTACAGACACGAGTTTGCTAGCTGTTCTCCGAGCGTTTGACAGTGACGACGGCCTCGTCGACTACAACCGCTTCATGAGAGCATGTTTCCGAGGGTAAATTACCGGTTTCTTAAAAAAAAAGAGACTATTTTACCAATCAGTTAAATTTTTCTTCTTGGACTTTGAGCTGGTACTATCGTACTTCGACGTTGAGCTGTAGCTGGCGCGTTCCCATTCGTAAAACGATGTTCTTGTTTCTCGATACGTCGTTGTTCACGGAAGTGTGCGGCTACGATCTCCACGTCGGATTTGTCCTGTACCTGCGTCGGACATTGATGAAGTTTTCTTTGCTGTTGCATTTGTAGTAACTTCCTGGCGTCGTAAGTTTGACGGAGGATTGTTTCAGCTTGATGTAGCGTCTCCTTCTCTTGTTTCTTGATCGCTCTTCGCATGACTATAGTATCACGTTCTTCTTCATCTATTTCTTCTTCAGTTGTCGTCTTAATCTCCTGCTTAACGAAGCTATTACTCTTTTGATTCGAATCGAGCTCAAGCTGCTCTAGTCGAGCCACTTGAGCCACCGAGTAGTCTATCGCTGGTAGTTTAAGCCATTCACGTTGCAATCCACGCCGTCCTATATCTCGAGCGATGTGTAGTAAAGTTTGCAGCGCTGGCGTCACATTCTTCAGAGCTGTTTCGGCTGGATGAGACCCTCCCATAACAGTGCGTGCCATCGCTAACACTTGACCTGGTAGTGTCATCCCTGGACGGTCCTCGAGACAAAGTAACAGCTCCACAATATGTAGCACTCCTTGCTGAACAAACACGAACGCTTTGAGCTGCGTGTTCATACGTTCTCGAGCTTGACTCTTCTCTAGTTGCTGCGTGTGTAGAGCTCCTTCCAGTCGATCGCGTAGTCGCTGACGACGCTCTGTAATATCGCCAGGGCCGGACACTCGGAGACGTGATACCATCGAATTATGCGCCTGTTGTTCGCGCGCTAACCGAGTGCTTTCCGTGCGTAATTCCGCTGCGATCTCACGCAGTCTAGCAGTGCTCTCTCTGTACGACTGGAAGCGATCCAGCACCACATTCAAATCCACTTCCCCGGTCTCACGTAGCACACGCGCAAACTGTCCTTCGTACACGGCAAACAGCGTCTCCCGTCTGTTTTCATCTGCATCGTCCACCAGTATATTGTAGCTGTCACGACGCTGTATTATACCTGGCACTCGATCCTTCGTTATCGCAGCCGAGGCGCTTGTAAGTGACCTACTCGTAACTTTCGATCCATTGGTTCTAGTGCCTATAAACCTCAACAACTCATCACGTCGACGATCCGCATCATTGCGTCGTTGAGCTATCACTAACCGTGAAGCCAATTCGTCTCGATAGGACTCGAGAACCGGCAGAGCACTGCGTTTAAAACCCGTTCGCTTGCCGTGTAACTCACGAAGCTGTTGCCGTATATGTCGGTTCTTATCGGACTCAATTTTGATGCGATTCCGACACAACGTTCGCTCTCGATGGGCTGCTCTCTTCCGTTCCGCAAGGAGATCAGCGTTTGCCTCTAAGTATCGAACTTGCTGTTCCAGTCGCTCGTGCATGTAGCGCAGACGCTTCTTGTATGCGTCTTGGTGTGCGATTTCTTGTTTCAGATTAGGAACGATATCTGGTTGCGTTCTAGAAGTTTGAGAGGCACAAGAAGACAGTGGATCGAAAGCACGAAGATGACGTTGTGCAAGACTGAGCTCTTCTTCACGTCGAGCGATAGTGGCGTGTAATTCATGAAGTTGACGTTGTGCCTCGAGTGTAACATGTCGTTGCTCGTCGATCTCGTCTCGTACTACACGCTGCACTACCGAGTTATGACGCGTTGCTGCCGGAGTTCCAGGTTGTCGCCATAGCTGCATCGACGCCTGACACGGTCGTGGTCTTGGACTGGTTAAGTTTACAGTCGGTGGTCTCGGGTGTCGACTGGATTGAGGACGGTGAGAATACGAAGTCTGGTTCGAATTGGCCGGCACAATAGCAACCAGTTTGCGGTTAGCGGATGGGAAGACACTAGCAGATTTGGGTCTACTGCTTCCTCCAGGTGGAGCTGTGACGGCTCCTATTGACGTCATAGCGTTTTGACAGTGAAGAAGTGAAAGAGAGCAACGAAACCACACTTATTAATATAGAAGAAGCTTCATTTTAGTGAAAAGATAAGTAGTATTTAGCTATGCACTCCGGTCCTCAACCTGTTGTTTACTTGAGTTGTTCATAGAGTTTATCGATCTGAGGCTGGAAAAAAGCCTTGAGTTGCGGCCGTTTGAGTTTAAACGTGGGTGTGATCAATCCTTGCTCCAGAGAGAATGGTTCCGGGTGGAAGTGTACGCTCTTGACGAGTTCGAAGCCTCGAAGTTGTGCGTCCTTGTCGACACGAGCCATGTCTGCCAGTACCGCTTTCTGGAACTCTGGGTTGTTCACCACCTTCGCACTGGAAGCACCTGCTCCAGTCAGTCCGTGCTCCTTCGCCCAAGCTTCGGTCACTTCTGGGTCAGGTACCAGTACACCAACCAGACAACTCTTAAGCGAGTCACCGTAGGCGAACAGCTGAGCCACGTACTTGCTCTTAGCGTAGATGTTCTCGATTTTCTCCACAGCTACGTATTCACCTTGAGCCAACTTGAAGATGTTCTTCTTGCGGTCAATGATACTGAGTGTTCCATCGGCATTCCAGCAGCCAATGTCGCCTGTATGGAACCATCCACGTTCATCAATAGCCTCGCGAGTCTTCTCAGGCTCCTTGTAGTACCCGGCGAAGACCATAGGACCTCGAACGCAAATCTCTCCACGCGGACGAGGCATGTCTTGACTCGTGTAGCCCATTTCAGGCACGTCTTCCAACTGCACTTGTCCGTACATGAGCGGAGCGCCAACGTGCGGCCCCATGGGCATATCGACAGCACCCACAGCCACAGCAGCAGCCGTCTCACTCAGTCCGTAGCCCTCGGCGACGTCGCAGCAGAAGACGACCTTCATAAACTCCTTCACCTCAGCACTCAACGGCGCGGAACCCGAGAAAATGAGACGCACACGACCGCCAAGAGCCATGCGGACCTTGGAAAACACCAAAGCGTCCCACAACGCGTGGGTCTTGTGGCCGGCAGGAAGACCCGCTAACTTGGCTGCCAGAGCGCGATCGAACAGGATCTTCTTGAGCCCTCCAGCAGCAGCCACACCCTGTGTGATCTTGTCATACACCCGGTTAAACAGTCTGGGAGCAGACACGAAGACCGTCGGCTTAAGCTCGGCCAGGTCGTCCATCAGCAGCAGCAGATCTCCTTGATAGAAGCCTGCAGAGGCGCCGTGAGCCTGTAGAACACCCAACACAGCACGTTCAAACACATGTGCTAGTGGCAGATAGGAGCAGTGCACGTCCGTGGGGAGGATGTCCATGCGGTTGCACATTTGTCGGACCACGTACGTGTAGTTCCTCTGCAGTAGAATGACCCCCTTTGGGTCTCCTGTGGTTCCTGAAGTGTAGCAGAGAGTGGAGACGTCGGTGGGTAGTGGAGGATCGGCAGGTTGAGGGTCCGCTTCGCCCAGTAGCTCCAGCTCGTGGAGACTTCTGAGCTCGATGTTCTTCTCTTTGGCCTGTTGTAGCTGCTTCTCAGTGACTGGTTCAAACTGAATGACCGTCTTGAGTGTAGGACACTCAGCCACGCAGTCCATGACGACGTTGAACTGCTTTTTACCGCAGAATAACATTCTCAACTCTGTGTGGTTGACGATGAAGGGCACTGCATCGGGCCCCAGTGTGTCGTACAGCGGCACGAGCACGTAACTCATGCGGTCGCACGCGTGGGCGACTAGACACCATTCTAATTGGTTCTTAGAGAAGACGCCCACCATGTCTTGGCGCTTCATGTGGCCTGCAGCTTTCAGGCCGCTGGCCACACGCTCCATTCGCGTCTTGACCTGGTTGTATGTGAGCCACTCGTAGGCTCCGGCTTTGCCTGTGTCGGGGTCAATGGTGCGTCGACCGTAGAGCGGTCGGTTGCCATTCTCGATGTTGCAGCCGATGAGGAAGTTGTGGTACAGCGTCATCTCGTCTTCGTTGATCGGGTCTCTGTCTGGCACAGTGTAGGCCGGACCGTGCGTGGCATCGCGCGTGTTGGGCACCTCGACGGTGTAGCGCTTGCCAGTGTAGGACTCGAAGTCCGTCTGACTCATGGGAAGCTCGGAGCTGGTGCCGGTGCCCATGTTAGAAGCGGGAGGAGGAGAACGGGGAGCAGCGTGTGGTAACGGATCTTGAAGACTGCCGGACAGACGCAACGTCGCGAGTTGACGTTATGTGCACCACATGAAATGAGTGGTACTAGTTTTGTGTGCGATACTTCATGTATGTCGACGTGTTGCTTATCCAACACGTCGACTTACACCAAATTCTCAACGAGTTTCGTTTACAATAGTGCTGTTTTTTTTAATTTATATTTAGCATCGTCGGTGCTTTATTAAACGTAACAGCTAAATGGGCATTACAGGAGTCCTCTTAAGGAGGCGTTAGTTAGCAATACAAGCTGCATATGCACAACTGACAGAACAATTTCGTCAAAGGCGTCAAAGGACTAACCTTATTTATAACAGTGGAACTGTGTCGATTCTATCCTAATAGAGCGAAATTTGTGCCTCTAAATTAACCAGAGTGGATCGGTGAGCGAGTGTGGTCCACTATCAAGCGATATGAAGTAGAGGACATCATCGATCGACTCACCTTGTGTTAGGCTTTCGAATCATGTATCATAGTGCTTTAAAATTTAAAGACCTGGATACGTTGTGCCGTTCTAAAACTTGAAAATTGCGGGCTGTTACAATCAATGCGTGTAAATAACGATCGTAACTTTTCTCTCGGGTACAGTACATCCCAACAATCCCTAGATGCCTGGTCTAATCTATGTTGTATTACGACACGGAACAAATCCACTCGACTCTGAATAGGTTTGCGCATCGACATCTCGGTACCAAATCATGTTCAGTGCTTTCAGCGATGCTGGCTTGGAGGGGTCAAGAGAGCGAAGCCTAGTAACTGCAACTTTTTTATTCTCGAGCTGAAGTACTACACTACCTGTATCGTTGCAGAAGAACCCTTTTAGAGAAAAAAAACTCTCTGTAGTTTATTAAAATCAACGTTACCGTTCCGACTCCGGCTCAGGACGGACACTCGGAAGATTGAGTTGGTAGCAGAAACACGACAAGATCCTGGTCTGTCGCAGCAGCCTCACCCTTTGATGATGGCTCCACAGAATCCACCGCTAAGGGCGCCAGCTTCATCTCCCTTTCGCCGTACTGACATTGCTCGCACCTCAACAATCCCTCATTGCGTTAGACAGTCGTTGCAACTACCGTTGCCTTCTGGTTGCTGAAGCGGATCAGTGCATGCATGTACATGAATTCCCAAGTTGAAGTGCGCACCGTAAATTTTAATTTCCGCCAATCGACTAAATCAGGGGTGTAAGCTTCCGCCACGATTTCGCGCAAAAGTGACACGGCCCTGTCAGCAGTGCAACTGTGAAGTACCTTGTAGTGCGTGTCTCGACTGTGGACCAGAAATTCACTCACCCTGTCATTCTTCATTTTCCAAGCAACAACAAACCACCAACTCTGCAGAGGCGACTCTCACACCAGTTGAAGCATGGGCTCTGCGCAAAGCACGAGCGGGTCGCTGGCCGACGTGGACTTTGAGTCGTACACGGGCAAGCGCTACACCGTCGAGGTGCCCAACACACGCGACGCTACTCATGGCCCAGTCTACGAGGTTTCAGACAAGGAACCCGTTAAGGAAGAAGAGATGACGCTGTACCACAATTTCCTCATCGGCTGCAGCATCGAAGACGGCAATCGGCCGTGTTACGGACAACGCACCGTCGACCCCGAGACGGGCAAGGCTGGAGCTTACGAGTGGTTTACGTACAACCAAGTCAAGACACGCATGGATAGCGTCGCCAGCGGTATGGTGGCCATCTTCGGCCTCAAACGACAAGACAAGATCGGCCTCTTCTGCAAGAACCAGGTCGAGTGGTGTCTCGCGAACCACGCGTGCGACCGCATGAGCTACGTGGTGGTGCCGCTCTACGACACTCTAGGCCCAGAGGCCGTTCCTTTTGTGATCAACCACACCGAATTGAAGATTTTATTCTGCGGATCGAAGCAGTTCGATGTCATTATGAACTGCATCTCCAAATGTCCGTCAGTCAAGACGATCGTCATGGTCGACCCCATTACCGACGAGCAGAAGCGACTGGCTGCTGCTAGCGACATCGAACTCAAGACGTTCGAGGAGATCGAAGAGAAGGGTAAAGTAGAGCCCCATCCGGCCGATCCGCCCCTCCCGACTGATGTCTCCACACTCTGCTACACTTCCGGCACAGTAGGCGACCCCAAGGGTGTCGTTCTGCTGCAACGCAACTTCACGTACGCTGCACGCCAGGCCAGCAATCGACTCAAAATCTACTCGTGGGATCGCCACATTTCGTACTTACCGCTAGTGCACGTGCTGGAGCGTGTAGTGCTAGCGTTAATGCACTTGAATGGTGCGTCTGCGGGGTTCTACCAGGGCGATCTGCATCTCTTAATGGACGACATCAGTGAGCTTCAGCCCACTGTCTTCGTGACTGTACCGCGCCTTGTGAATCGAGTGTACGACAAGATCACGCAAGGTGCAGAGGCGGCTGGAGGCATCAAGAAGATGCTCTTTGACAGGGCCATCGCCTCGAAACTTGCAGGCGTAGAGGAAGGTCGCAAGACACACGCGTTGTGGGACCGTTTAGTGTTCAACAAGCTCCGCCAGGCTCTTGGCGGCAACGTGCGTCTGATCTTCTCGGGTTCCGCTCCTATGAGCGCCGACGTCAAGAAGTTCATGCAGGCAGTTTTCTGTTGCGACGTGGTCGAAGGCTACGGACTCAGTGAATCTGCGGCTGCTGTTTGTGTGGGCGCTATTGACATGCCGACGGAGTCTCACGTGGGCACTCCCGTTATGTATTGCCAGGTGCAACTCGAAGACGTGCCCGAAATGGGCTATACTAGTCACGATAAACCTCGCCCAAGAGGTGAGATCCTGGTCAAAGGACCCGAGATGTTCACGGAATACTATCAAAACCCCGAGATAACGCGAGAGGCTATTGATGAGCGTGGCTGGTTCCACACTGGAGACATTGGATGCTGGAATGCAGACGGCACACTCAGTATTATTGACCGTAAGAAAAACATCTTCAAGCTGGCGCAGGGCGAATACGTTGCTGCCGAGAAGATCGAGAACGCGTACTATACATGTAAGTATGTGGCACAGATCTTTGTATATGGAGACTCGCTGAAAAGCTGCTTGGTCGGCGTCGTGGTGCCGGATATGGAGGTGGCCAAGGTGTGGGCACAGGAGCACGGGCTCAGCGGTGAAGACGCCTCGAAGGACAAGATCTTGCAGAGTACCGACTTCCAGGAGGACGTGCGCGAGGACATGGAGCGTGTGGCGGCAGAGGCGAAGCTGCGGGGCTTCGAACGCGTGAAGAACGTGTACTTCCACCCCAAGCAGTTCACGACGGACGAAGGACTAGTCACGCCGACGTTTAAGCTGAAGCGGCCACAGCTGAAGGCCTACTTTCAGACGCAGATTGATGAGCTCTACCGGGAGTTGTGAATGCATAGCTGACTTACATTAATGGACGGTATTCATTTTTGGCAAAGGCATCACGACTGCATTCGCCATGCAAAACAACGAAGCCGAAGAGTGGTCATGGACGTGTTAACCATGAAGTCGATGTTTTGAACACTGATTGCATTGAACATTTGAATGAACACTGATTGCACTTGTCCACATTCAACGAAGCATCATGCCGGTGCGCACGTAACGCTTGAGTTGCTAACGCTTTCGCGGAACGTCTCTTATAGTCGAGACTCTACTTACGAGGTGTTATTCGGCATGATATTCTACATCTATTCTCACGTCGAATAACACTCTGAAACTCTATTAAAGTCTCTGACGATTACTCTGGCACAGAGATGGTTTCAGATTGGAAGAGTAAAAAAGTTTAAAATACATGAAAACGTTTTAAACAATTTAGAAGTATCCAAAAGTCTAAAATTCAGTCAGGATCCCAAAGGTACCCCGGCAAAAGAAAAGATTCAGTTTGCCCATGGTGACAAGGGTGGAAGCACGCCGTCACGAAGCGAGAACTTTCAGGCAGGACCTCCTGGAGATACTCCTAGCGATCTTCAAGCAGCTTTCGGGAGGTTCCGATCGCCCTCCAGCACGGTACTGCGGAGGACGCTTCGCTACAGCCCATACCAGAGTGGTTCCTCGCCGCTAAGTCCGCCAGAGGATCTTGCGCCACTGGCAACAGGCTCGCGTAGGGTAACGTTCCCATCTCCACCCAACTCACCATCCCCATTCCAACCCCGCCCGACATCAACACCAGCGCGAACCTCAGCAGAAGTACCTCGCTCAGCGACACCATCGCGGCCTCCACGTGCTTCAACCCCTACGCGATCGCCTCCTACTCCTCGCACTTCGTCTCGACCGCCGCGTACTTCTCTAAACTCAGTGAGATCACCTCGTACTCCAGGAGCATCTCGTCGTTCCCGAGGTCCCTGCTGAAGGTCGGGCGCCCACAGGATAAAATTTGGAGTCATTACACTATTGAGTGTGAAAATGGTAAGAAGCATGGGCGGTGCAACTACTGTGGCGTTCTTAAAAAGAACGGCAAGCCTAGCGGAAATTTGTTAGATCACTTGCTGAAGCCTAAAAAATGTGTTAGTGTTCCCAGGGATGTTCAAATCTCTCTGCGACCTACTTCACCAATCCTCCCGCCTCCCCAATCCACTGTGGAGCCCGGCAAGAACGATCTTGACCAAGAAACATTTGAGATGGCACTTGCTCGAGTGTTTTTTTGTCTGTGCGCTGCCGTTTATATTACTGGAAGCTCAAGTGTTCCGAGATTTCATGGCAATGGTCGTGCCGACAATGAAGTTGCCGTCGAGGCAAAGGTTGAGCACGGTACTTCTACCAAGGGTTCGAGATGATGTTCGAAAGAAAGTGGTCAACCTGATCAATGCCCATAACTTTGTCTCACTCGTTACCGATGGTTGGACGAATACCAACAGTTCGAGTATTATAAACTTTATGGTGGTTGCCCCAGGGATGCCTTCCATGTTTTGGTCGTCGTGGTCAACTAGATCAAAGCAACACACTGCCCGATATTTTGCTGAAGTAATTG